TAGCCTCGTCAAAGTAGTAGAGTCTCTCACTCTCTTTAGCACTGCCAATCGTCTTCCCCGATGATAGGTCCTAAAAGACACAGTAAGATGGAAAAAAATGAGCGGAGCAATTTGAACTCTTTGTCAATTGATGGACAATAAGTTACACGATAGATTTGGGACATGTAGAACATTTTCGAGTGTAATTAGACTAGAGATTCGAATACTCCCCTTTCCAGCCACTGGAGAGAGAGAACCATCTGCAATTTTAACCTTAAGGTTGCCAGCACAAGGCGAGTATGACACAAATAGATTATGTGAATTCGTCATATGATCGGACACACCAGAATCGATAATCCATGATATTTTTGAGAGTAGCGTAGTATTGAGACCTGTAAGGATATTGCCTCTGTGAGCCAAAGAACTCGAAGGGCTCGGTGATTGAAAATTCGAGAACAGTTGTTGAAGCTGTTCGAGTTGTGCCGGACTGAATGCATTGCTGGGAGTGGAATTTTGTGTCTCAATGGCGTGGACTGCAGCTTGGTAGATGGAATTTCTGGTGTTTTGTTGTGGCTTCCAATCAGCTGGTTTTCCATGCAAATCCCAGCATGTATCCTCTTTGTGGCCAGGTTTCCGACAGTGATCGCACCATGGACAACCCGTTTGTTGTCTTGGGGTGGGTCCAAAATTTTTTGTACCTCTAGGCATCTGGGCTCCCAAATCAGGCCCATTTGACTTTGGCCCATTAAATGGGTTCCTTTTAAAATTTGCAATTGACCCATTTAGCCCAAACCCATCTGACCCGTTCGGCCCAAAGGAATTAGAAGAAAGGGCCGAACCCTCCAAAGGAATAGCAGGCCCAATTTCATTCTTCAGCATAATCTGCCTGCGACTTTCCTTGCGTCTGACCTCAGCGAAGACTTCACAGGGTGATGGCAGTGGTCGATGTCCAAGGATCCGTCCCCTCACGTCGTCAAATTCTCTGTTCAATCCGGCAAGGAATTCTTACACTCTCTCGTTGTCCAGCCTCTTCCTATACCGCACGCTATCACCGGCACAATCCCACTCCTCGTCGATGCTCTGGTCCAATTCTTGCCAGAGATTTGTCATCTCCAAGTAGTATTCGGTGACCAACCGTTCTCCTTGCTTCATCTGCCACAGCTTCGTTTTAATTTCGAAAATTTGGGAGGAATCTTCGGCATCGGAGTACATCT